CCCTCCGGGCACGGGGGGAGGAAGGAAAAGGGGGGGAGTGAGCGAGCGGCTGCGTGGTTCCAAGTTGCCGGCTGGGCTTGAACCACGACATCAACCCAGGACTTGCTGCAATTCATCATGACCACGTAGGTACACAGTCGTCCCCTTTTATCCCAGGGTCTGTGGTTAGAACATTCACCCAGACAGCTGGAAACCTGGGGGGAAACCGAGATTCAAAACCACACCTTCCACAGCAGTACCATAATCAGTCAGATTGAGGGATGAAGGGCACTTCTTCACCTTCACACTGATTTTTACAAAAGCAGACATGTTGGGGCACAAGAGAATGAGCTGTGATGGAGGATAACTCTGGACAGACTGAGGACTAAGGACAATATTGTATTTATGTGCAAACGTTATTTGCATGAAACAGTCACTGGATGAAACAGTATGAGCAGTCCTTGGGGTCCTGCAGTCCTTGGGACTAAAATCCAGGTTACCATGAGTGAGTGAGTGATTGAGTGAATGAGTGCCCAAAGTCTGTGCTTTGTCACTGCAAACTACGAGAGACTCAACAGTGAGCCCAGCTTCCATCACTCTTGTCTGCATTCCCAATGCTCCAGGCACACGTCTGGGGACCTTCATAGCCTGGAGGAATGCTGCAACCAACCTACTAATATCTGGACATGGCTGGACAGCAGATATTGCCAGTCCCCAAGCTGTCATCCATGGAAGCTGTGATCTGGAAAACAATGCCTCTTGCTGCCAGTGTTTGTGCAGCACACAATCCACACCTAGAGAAAATGAACTGGAACAAGCCCTAGAGGCTATAGACGCAGACATATTTGTGGGTAATGATGGTGTTTGGGCATGAGATCAAGAGTTGGGCACAAGATAAGTTCTATCATGTTGCTTCTGAGCATGTGAGAAGCAATATGAGTATCAGCAAAATCATAGGCACCACTTTGTCTCATTTTCAGCATTAGAGGGGAGCTGAACAGGAGCTTTGAGAACTGCAGTTTTATACTCAGGGTGTCTAGAAATGTTCACAGTCATTAGTGGCTCTGGGCCCACATGAATTTATCAGTCCATCTGGTGATTTGCAGTTGCTTTCCTACACATCAGAGCAAAATTACTAAAACTTGACAATATAATAATGTTGTGTTCTCAACTAGCTGAGGAAGTTGTAAATCTTTCCCTGGATGAGCTTTAAGATGTCTTCCAACACAAACCATTCTATAATTTTATGATTAAAGCTCACCTAGTTCCAATCCCTTGCTATAGTTGGAATCATAGAATAGTCTGCCAGCGATGGGGCAGCCACAGCTTCTCTAGGTAACTGGTTCCAGTGGGGGGACCTACTGTTTCTGCTGCAAAGGAGTCCTCAGCAGTAGTCAGTGAGGAAAAGCCCAGGCTTCACCTCTTCCTACTTTCTCAGTTGTTGCCTTGGGACAACAATTCACAAGCTGGCAGCATTCACTTTTCCCTGACAGGAGCCAAGAACCAAGTTCCCAGCTTGGTCACGCAAAGACAAGTTTAACATGCCTAGTGGAATTCCTAAGACTGTCCACGAAATACCTAGCAAAAACCTAAATCGTTTTCTTCACTGTGGTAGTTAAAAAATGTGCAGAAATAAACGTCTTTTAAAATTTAGTCCTTTTAGGACTACTTATCTTAAAGAATACCCAGCGCCTAATCAATGACTTCAGTATGACCTTTCTTTCTGAACTTTTAAAATGAAGGCTACATTTGACGCCAACATCACAAGAACAAGCAGCATATCTGCATACTGCTCATGAGTCTAAACCAGTACTGTTATGAGCATTCACAGGAACAGAATAAAAATATCACTGAATGTCTTTTCTCCATGACTTCTGAAAGATGGCTTTACTTACACTCAGCAGGTGATGATGAAATCTTCTGCCTGATCGTGGTATGCTGCTGTGTGTAAGACTTCAGGGACTGACTAAAAGGTGCTTACTGCTGTGCTAAAGGATTTCAATTTACTTAAAAATTTGGGGCATAAAAGACATTTCCTTTTACTGGCATACATTTCATTGAATTCTGAACTGTATTAAAGTTCACAGCCATTTAAAGGACTAGGACTCGTATATATTCATGGATACCTCCACAAAGAAGCGCAGAATGCTCTGTACTGATTTGGTTTTTTCTTGATTTGTATTTTCAGAAAAGAAAAAACAAGACACTCATTCTATTCTATAGCTATTCCAATACTAAAACAGTAGCCTGCAAAACACAAATCCTGGTCTTACAAAGCCCAGGAAATGAAATTTGACTTACAGCGCTGAAGAACCTTCTAGGGGAAGCCTTCACTCCCTGGACAAAATAATACAAGGCGGCACAATTGTGAATACAGTCAACTGCATCAAAACCCCTAGTAAGGCTTGTTCTTGTCCACAGATTTCTGTACACACTTATTTCTCACCTTTGCTTTTCCATTTTAGATCATGCAACCCTGCACAGACTTGAGATGTCAACTATGCATCATAAGACTTCTCAGCGTTTCTGCACTTCTCTCAGGCCCTTCATTGTGGTCAAACTGTTGCTGCAGTAGTCAAAAATTTGGAAAGGAGGGCTTCAAATAAGACACCGTAAGCTGAAAAGCAGAAAACCTTTTTCATATGGAGAGCTAAACAAGATGGGTTTGTCTCTTTTAATGTAGATTTTGACCTCTTTATAACTTTTAACAAGCTGACGTTGCTCTTCACTCAAGCCTGAAAAAGCACTTGAGTTTGTCTACCAAGTTTTTCAGGTGCTGCTGTAAACTTTGTAATGAATACTGTTACCAAGTATAATGAACTAGAAATTGTTGTCACAGGAGGAAGGTGATAAGTCATGACTCTTATTGACAGGATATCAATTCAAAATGCTTTAACAGAGTGCAATGGTAATTGGAAAGAAGATGTCAGGGAAAATATTCAGAGATTGTAGTGAAAAAAGCTAGTGACTGTCTCTACTTAAAATAGGAGGAGATCAAGTACTCTACCTGCCACATTCAAGAACATCAGTGGCTTCCTTCTATATTCTTGCACGGACTTTTAGCATCACTTTCCTCTCACAAGTATCAGTACAAATTCCTACGTAACAATACAGTAAAAGCTACCTAAATTGGGACTCTAATAAAGAGTGTCTCTACTGTTAAAGAAAGCATCCAGTGCGGCACACTGTGATAACTCAAGGAATGACCACATCACATCTTGTCAAGTGACTCTTCTGCTGCAGTTTTTTGCAAGCCCAGACCACTCACATGTCAATTAGAAATGGCTAAAAGGCCCCTTTTGTTATTTTACATGACTCTACCACTTCATCAGAGCTAATAAGCGTTTCTTTCAATAATGTTACTTGTAATGGTTAGGCACAATGCTTACTTTCTGAGTAATTCATGACACGAAAGAGAGTCTCCTTCATCAGAATCTATTGCTGTTAGCATCTGAAAATCGTGCAAAACCCAAACCTTCATACTTCTCTTGCTATAGTTACTTGCCACCTAAGCAGATTTCACTGTTGCCTCCCCTGCTCTTCTTTTTGTGTTTCCATAATCATACCTCATCCCTAAAAGCATGAAGTTCAAACAGTTAAGGTTTATCCTGTAACCATGAGAACACAGGTGAAGGCTGTAAGATTAGTGGGCATTTTGTCTAAGCAATCCCACCTCGCAACTAGTTGGCACAACATGATGAATTTATTGATTTTTATAAATACTTTCCATGAAAAGGGGATGGAAAGCAATGAGTGTGTCAGGCTGACACACCTGCTTATTGGTTGCACAAAAAAGGCTAAGCTACAATGTGTAACCCTAGAAGGTGCTTCATCTTGAAACAGCATAACACTGAACAACTTCTATCTGGCGTAAATCTGATTGGTATTTCCCTTGAATACACATTGCATTTGGCACTGTCATTTGTGATCAGCATCAACACTGTTGTGGTTGCATTCATTTTCTTTAGAGGACTCACTTAACTACTAGTAATAACTGTTTTGAATTTATTTGTATTCTGATCATATCCATGATATTGCTGGCACTGTCTACCCACACAAGAGAAAATGGCCTTAAAGATCGTGCAATCTGAAATCAGTTGAATGTTGCACCTCTGCAAAGAAAAATCGAGTTCATAAATAATAGAGAGAGTTATGATTTCCAGATCAGTACCTAAATTAGGGAGCAATAAATCTTGGAAGGCCATAAATTACTGAATCAAGATAAAAGCTCAAGGTACAGCAACCTGTACATTCTGGAAGGGAAGCACAGATCTTTGTTCTATTAAGACAGTGAAATCTTTATTAACAAATCTGGGGTTTCAGTGATGGTGAAAGCAATTAAACTCTCAAGTTTAAGTTTCAAAGGTAGCTGCACATGTAATTACTCTGTGTTATCTGAAAATCCCAACCAACAGCAACAACCATGTTTGTTTTAAATCATCATACGGGAAAAAAAAGTCTTTAGTTCCAAGCAAGAATGAAGTGTGGGTGAAGAAGCAAACATGGTGGGAACATGGATATCTGCAAGTGATTTATGGGCATGTGTTGAGTTAATAAAGAAAGCGAAGTTCCGAATGACACTGACAGCAGTGAAGGCAAACTGGATCCTGGAAGGATGACAGTGATCGTGCAGATTAGTACAAAAGAATCAGAAGTGACAGTCAATCTTCATCCTCTCTGGAGGCAAGTAGATACCTAGCTGGTAAAGAATACCATACCCTCCACTTCTTTTTGTTGATGGCTGTTCTTTGTTATGTTCTGTATTTTTTCAAATCAATCCTCTTTGTCTGAATATTGGTAACTCATAAATACGTTACTTACTCCCTCATGTGTTTCAGTTTGGTCTCAGCCATAGTGCTGTTGAGAGCCCTGGATCCCTGGGGCACCACTGGAGACACTCTGGTGACAGTTCCCGAGCCTACAAGTCAATGCACAGAAAAATAACCTTATTCACTTTCATCCCCTGAGCAATATTGCAGAGTCAAGGGCAGACAGAAGGAGGAAGACTATTCCAGTTTCTCACAAGGTAGTGCCACATTAATTAAAGATGAATCAGATTATTAAATGCATATTAAGAAAACTTCTTTCTGAGGGATAAATAGATTTATAGCTTAAAGGCACCAGAATTGTAACAACAATTTTCCTTCTCTAGAGCATAGACAGAATTACGTTACAACAGAAAGCACAATCACTTGAGGAAGTGCTGGGACAGATAAATATTCAACAAAATGAAATTTGCTTAGACAATACAAGTTTTCCTCCATTATTCTTGCACTTAGTTAGAAGAGCATTAACCTTCTTCATAAGAGGCAAGTCTCTCATTTAGCTTATTACTTTAAATTGAAAGCTGAAGTAGGATCTTTTCTTCTAATTATAAAGAAATGAATGGAGTATGCAGAAGGGAAAGGAAGAACTGAGTAAGCCAAAGAAAAAGATTGGCACAGGAATAAAATGAGCATGAGCTGGCTGATAAAGAAGTTTTGTCGGTAAATTAAAGGAGATATTTTAGCCACCAGCTCACAGAGAGGCTCTGGAATTGTCTTCCAATGGGAACAGTCAGCACAATAAATAAATTCCTTAGATTAAGCATGGACTTGTGTGATGAAATGGCAACAGAACAAAGAAATGGCAGCCTATTCAAGCTGTCAACACTGACAGTTGTCTGTGATTCAGCAATTCTGTGTTCTATGGATGAGTACCACAGTGGTCTGCATATTGCAACAGCCCATGAAGCCTGTAAACAGAAGGCGTGAACATGTGTGCATATGTATATGTATATTTCTCACTTATATGTGTATTTACATATACAGCTATGATTTTTATATATATTTATGCATACACAAAAAAAAGGAGTATCTTCATCTGAAGGGGAAATATTTAATATGCAATATTATCCATTCCATCACACAGCAGAGGCCACAAGGGTGATCAGGGGTCTGAAGCATCTCTCTTTATGAGGAGGGATTGCAGGAGCTGGGCCTGTTTAGTCTACGGAAGAGCAGACAGAGAGGATCCCATCAATGCAGGCCAGTATCTCAAAGGCAAGTTTCCAGTGGTGCCCAGCGACAGGACAAGGAGCAATGGCCATAAACTAACACACAACAAGCTTCACCTCAACATGATGAAGAACTTTTTTACCGTGAGGGTGTCAAAGCACTGAACAGGCTGCACTGGGGGGTTGTGGAGTCTCCCACTCTGAAGACATTCAAACCAGCCTGGACACATTCCTGTGTGACCTGCTTTGGGTGGCCCTGCCTTGGCAGGGGGTTGGACTGGATGATCTCCAGAGGTCACTTCCAATCCTAGTGATTCTGTGAATCACTCTAGTGCCCACTGTATTCAGATCTTTGGTGGATTCAGAAGATAGGAAGCAGACACAGGGAGAGACTACTGAAAAAGTGGATTCCTGAGTCTATCTGGCTATGGACAAATGACTTGACTTTTAAAAACATTTTCCTATCTTCTCTTTCACTTCTTCACTTAATGGCTCAGTTCTTACTAGCAACCAATAACTCCACCCATTGATGCAAAGAACATTTCCTGATCATACACTATAACACTACACATGCATATCCGTACATTTTTACATGAGGTCTGCAAGCACTACACGACTTTAGCAGCACTGGAAAATTCAGGGTGGCCCCAGGAAAACCCCAAGTGTTGTGCAAAGCAATGCTCATGACGTATTGGGTGGCATCCTGCTCTTTGAGTTGGTATGGAACTAAGGTCCAGATGTGGCGCTTTGGGCTTTAGAAGCTATAAAAAATTAATGCCCTGAGCACCAGTGGTCTAAGGAAAATACAATATTTGTATTCTCTTAAGACAGAGTACATTTAACCACAGGCTTCAGCTAAATTCTGGTATTACTATTATTATGGGATATATCAGTGTAGTAATAGCTCAGCATATTCATTCTGCTTAGTGGGTTCAATCTATTTATTGCTACAATATCTCCTTCTCTGACATTTCATTATTAAAGACATTCTTCTTATTTTTTCTGGGATTCTGGCTAAATAATTTGTACTTTGTCTACTCTTTACATTTGCAGTTGGCCTAAAACCCTTATTGTCAAAAATCAAACTGGTATCTATTTTCCTCTCCATTTAATAGGATTTTCTGGGTACTATTAGGCAGCTGCAAGGACTACAGATTGGAGGATGCTGCAAAAATGTAGTTAGTCATTAAAACAAATGAGTTCTCAGTGAAAACTTCTAAGAGCTTTACCATTGTTGCTACAAGAAACCTCAAGTTTTTTTCCTGGGGTGATTCATAACTCACAGTAACTTCTATATTGGAGGTATTTTCTTAGAAGCAGTTACTTGAGTAATAATATATTTTGCACCAAGCTTCGAGCAGTTTGCCTGCCCATCCATCAACAAGAACATTTTTTTTATATTTTAATTAATTTTCTCTTACTGTTATCAGTACTAGAAACAACTCCTATATCCTTTAATATTTTCCTCTGGACAGAATATGGCAGAAGGCAAGTTTTTAAATGCTTTTCTTAGAACATCCTACACTTCTTCAAAAAGTGACCAGTGGCTCCAAGACTATGATGGCCACAGCTTTGATTACTCCTTTTCATCCTTTTTCTTCTTTGGTTTTCTCTTCCTATCAGCCCATGCTTCTTACAAGCAGGGCTAAACAGAGCTCAGCATGAGGGGAACCTCTACAAGGAGGACTTCCCAGGCTTCCCTAAGCTCTAGTTTCAAATAATACTGAGTCAGGTTTACCCCAGCTGAATGAGTGTAAATGGAGCAGCTAACAAGACTGTAGTTCCCCTGAGAGCCTTTGGGAACTCTGCTGGGCTTTAGAGCAACCTATATATAGGCTTCTGCTGGCACAGTTCAATCCCATGGTCTTCAAGGACAGTGACTATGCTAGCCTCAGTAAATAGCCTGCTTTCATAGAAGTTTTCTTTGTAGCTTTTCTTTTATTCTTTTAGTGAGAAACCAGGTTTTCAAACTCTAAATTTATAGACAGAATTTGCCAGAGATTTTAGGATTCAACTGCAATTTCAAATTCCCAGTGATTTTTCTGTGCTTGGAATGAGATCCTGTAAACTAAAATAAATAGTATCCAAACTTGGATCATCATTTTAATTTTTTTTATATTTTAATTAATTTTCTCTTATTATTAGCAGTACTAGAAACAACTTCTATATCCTTCAATATTTTCCTCTGGAGAGAATATGGCAGAAGGCAAGTTTTTAAACGCTTTCCTTAGAACATTCTGCACTCTGGCCATCATGCTTTATGGTTCCACTATTTTCATCATAAGCACTTAACTGTGTATTGCCTTTTCTTTTGGCATACTTGTACTCTCTGCAGTAGCTTAAGGAAGAAGCGATTTACAAGGTCACATTTTTGGAGTTATTTTGTTGCAAAATGCAAATAATTGGAATGTAATGAATACAGGCTGCTAATAACTCACATTTAAAGAAGCGATATCATCTTACCCAATGAGCTACTATTCAGGACACTCTCCAAATACTTGACCATTGCCTCGACATCACTGTCCTGTGGAAAAATTAAATAACAATTAGGATCAGTGTGAGCACAAGCACTATATACCACAAACATAAAGGTTACTGCTTACACCAATGAATGTCAACACTCAACTACAAAGAGTCTACATTGCTCAGGACTTTTTCTGTTTTCTTCTCCTAAAACACCAGGCTTGGGAATGAGCTAATACCCAAACTGGTCTCTTCTCCCATATAACAAGCGATGGGACAAGAAGAAACCGCCTCAAGCTCACCAGGGGAAGTTTAGCCTGGAGATTTGGAACAATTCGTTCCCCAAAGGGTAAATTGGGTAAACTTTTGGTCGATGAGAAACTGAACATGAGCCACTTCAGTGTGCACTTGCGCCCAGAAATCCCCCATGTGCTGGGCTGCATCAAAAGCAGCGTGAGCAGCAGCTTGAGGGAGGGGATCCTGCCCCTCTGCTCTCATGAGACCCCACTTGCAGCACTGTGTGCAGGGCTGGTGTCCTCAACATCAGGCCATGGAGCTGTTGGAGCAAGTCCAGAGGAGGCCACGAGGATGAGCAGGGGCTGGAGGACCTCCTGTATGAAGACAGGCTGAGAACATTGGGGCTGTTCAGCCTGGAGAGGAGAAGCTGCGCAGAGACCTCAGAGCAGCTTCCAGTGTCTGAAGGGGGCTACAAGGCTGCTGGAGAGGGACTCTTCATCAGGGACTGTAGCAACAGGACAAGGGGTGATGGGTTCAAACTGAAACAGGGGAAATTCAGGTTGGATCTAAGGAAGTTCTTCCTTAGAGGTGTGAGGGTGCTGAGGCACTGGCACAGGGTGCCCAGAGAAGCTGTGGCTGCCCCCTCCCTGGCAGTGTTCCAGGCCAGGTTGGACTGAGCCTTGGGTTACATGGTCTAGTGGAAGGTATCCCTGCCCATGGCAGGGGGTTGGAACTGGGTGATCTTAAGGTCCTTTCCAATCCAAACCATTCTGTGATTCTATGATTCAGGTTTAACTGGTGAGACAATTTCAGGACTCCCTGCTACAGTGGTAGAGTTTCTGATTTCTCACTCAAATATTTTACTTTTGTCTTAAGAACTACATTTCAAGAAGTTATTAGTTCAAAATTTTAAAAAATCAGTACAAATTATTTATAATTTGGAGAGGAGTGATAATATACTTGGTTGGTTCCCTGAAATTGCAGAACCCATCATACTCTGTTCTGCAAAATTTGCACATGAACAAGGGATAACATACATGATCCTAAGCAGAAACAGACAGCACTATTCAGAGACACTGTACACAAGGGCCCAGGGGAGAAATGAATTGTTCCTGAATGCCTTAGAAAGATCAATTTGCAGAATTGACTTGGGCATTTAAGTTCATTGATTTCACTGAGACTTGATCGTTGGACACAAGATTCACCCCAGCTCATTCTGACCAGATCTAAATTAGGTGCCTTCTCCAATAATCTTGAACTTCCTTTAGACTGCGATCCCCAAGACTTTCTTGTGGCAGCCTCATCTGATAAAGCTACTTTATGCCTTTCAATAAGTTTTCTATTCACTGGCACTTTTTGAGGTTCTTGGGAATGTTTACAGATCCACTGGTCAAGTCTTGCAGCTCATATTTGTCACACTGTCCTCAAATGAAGAAGTGGCAACTAGAGGTTGCCCAGGAATTAGAGATGGAATTTAGATATTATCCTTGAAGTATACTTTCAGCTTTAACTTAATGTACCCATAGGTAATGTTACAGAACCCCACCCTGAGTGCTTTACAGTCACAAGGAAGTTTACTAAAAAAAATTCACTGTAAGGCATTCATGGGTGTGTTATCCTTAATCCTGAAGGAATGCAAGAATCCTTCTCATTGACGTCTCAGAAGAACGGCATATGCATACACATATAATTAATTCATAGTATTGATATAAACACACAAACATAACAAAGCCAAATTTCAGTAACATCAGTAGGACAAAAGCTTGAAAGGAGCTTAATTTTCCCACGAAAAATGAGCATCAAGTGTATACTATTTTCCAAAAGGTCACACATACCTGGTGATTAGGCTTAGAGACAGTTTCTGACGCTTCCTCATCCTCCTCCTCTTCACTGCTTTCTGAACAGGATTCAAACTCTTCATCATAATATTCTTCTGCTATTGCTGGGTCTTCTGGGATTTCTGAAGACAATTATGACTTTATAGCATTTAGACAGAAAAAATGTATGATCTTAAAAAGCTAAAATAGATTTTATAGCACACATTACGTCACTAGCAACACATTCTGTGATTGAAATCAAGGGATAGGTTCTCAGATTAAAATGTTCATCTTCAATGACATGCTAAGCAGTGTTAAACCTGTCTCTGGCAAAAGGTCAGATCCTCAACATATGTAAATTAATGACCTTAAAGCAGCTATATTGATTTTGAACTGAAATCACTGAACCAGAGAATAATTCAGGCTGGAAGTGACCTCATGGAATCATCTACTCAAAGCAGGGTCAGCACTGAAGTGAATCCAGCTTTTGTGAGTTGGAATCATGCCCCAGTTCGGTTCTCTCTAACACACATAACCTGTGGTGGATACAACAGTTAAGCGAAATGGAAAATGTTATATACCAGGCTCATGCTTAAAAGATAGAGCATATAAAATCTGCATCTTCTTCCAAATTTTCCTGAAGCAAAAGCGTAGTGACATAGTAGAAACTGGCTAAATGCAGCTACGTGTACTTGGGTGTCATGCTCTCTGAATTTATTACTATCCCAAGTTTTAGCAACAGCAATATTAACATAGCAATGAGCCTATAAAGTACAATAATTGTTATTAAAACTAACATATTCATCACAGCATGAAAGACACTCCAGCCACTCTCCTCTGGATAAAACCCTTTAGCATCCCGGACTCTGTAAGTAAGCAGTTAGTGAAGCAGCTTAAGGCCTGACTGCATCTGCTTCAATTAGGAGACCTTTCTCAGCAGAAGCCCGGAAGCATATATTCAGTTCCAAGCAGAGGCTGGACTGTGGTTACTATGTGAATAAAACAGCAGATTTCCCACTTTTTCAGGCAGAAAGTTGCAAGGCAAAGACTTCCCACACAGGAGACACAGCTCAGCAGCAAGAGGAAGGATCAGAAGACATGGGAGTCTGGCTGGCCAGACATCCCATCAATAGCCCTAAGCATTAGAGAGATATTCCAGGAGAGCTAAGCACCATGCTTTGATTTTGGGCAGTCCCTTACTGACTTATCAAGATATGCTATGTCCAAGCTCAGGAGCAACATTTTTATGCTAACAGTTTTCAATAGCAAATTGTTTGCTATCTGTCTTTGCCTGGCATGATTACAAGAAATGTTAGTCGAAGACACAAAATGCCTAATATTCAGTTCTCATAAATCACCACAGTCCTAACTTTAGCTAATGCTGATTTGTGCCATTCTCCCCATTTAAACGTACCACTTTAAAGAAATATATACCAACTTAAACTGCACTGAAAGAGATTCAATGCAAACAATGACATAAAAAATGCTTACTACATTTTTTTACTTGTTTCACATTAATTAAAAAAAAAGAAGAATTTAAAAGAGAATCCAGTTAAAATACAATAAAAGACCTTGGAGTTTGGGCAGGAAGAATATTTCTAATATTTCAGGTGTAAGAAAGAGAACTCAGTGAAAATTTATTTATCTGGAGCACTAGGTGGCTGAGCTCTCCTGTTGAGATATAATCTCTAACATCTACCGTCTCCAAAAAATTTTTTAAAAATACTTCCTTTTCTTATAAACTTGATTTACCTCCAACATTCTGACACATTTTCACTCAGGTTTCTAAGTTTTAAGATTATAGAATCATAGAATCACAGACTGGTTTGGGTTGGAAAGGACCTTAAGATCATCCAGTTCCAACCCCCAACACCTCACCCTAGAGCAGGTTTGTCCAAGCCTCTGTGTCCAGCCTGGCCTTGAACACTGCCAAGGATGGGGCAACCTGTGTCAGCACCTCAGCATCCTCACAGGGAAGAACTTCTGCCTTAGATCTAGCATGAACTCCACTGTTTCTGTTTGACACGATCACCTCTTGTCCTATCACTACAGTCCCTGACGAAAAGTCCCTCTCCAGCATCCTCGTAGGTCCCCTTCAGATACTGGAAGATACTTTAGATGCAAAACAGCCCCATGTTCCACTGCCACCATTTCAAACCTTCTTGTTTCTATTTTTCACCTTTCTTAGTTTGAAAAAAAAAAATCCACCAAATCCTAAAGTCAACCAACCAAACAAAAAACCCCAAACAACAAAACCCCAACACTGTAACAATGAAGATACATCTCCTTTTCCAGGCAGAATGAACAGTCATTTTTCTTTCTTGCAGAGACACTGTCATTTCTGTGATTAGTATAATTTTAGTAGATTCATCTACATTCTATGTATGTGTATTTATGCATTCACAGCCTACTTATGATAATCATAGAAACACAGAATCATAGAATAGTTAGGGTTGGAAAGGACCTTGAGCAGGGACACCACACACTAAACTATGTCGCCCAAGGCTCTGTCCAGCCTGGCCTTGAACACCTCCAGGGTTAGAGCATTCACAACTTCCTTGGGCAACCTATTCCAGTGCCTCACCACCCTCACTGTGAAGAACTTCTTCCTTAGATCTAACCTAAACTTCCCCTGTTTAAGCTGGACTACACTAGTGTTCTCTGAGTGGTCTTCCACATTCTGCATTTGTTTACTGTTATACTAAAAAGTCCAATCCTCCCCTTCCCAGCCAAACAAGGTATCAAAATAAGGTTTTTTACTCATAATTGTAACTTTAAAATATCTGCTCTGGCTAAGGTAAAGCTCTATACCTTGTGAGTAGCCCATGACCATCCAAAACTGCTGATGCCTTCAAACTATGTGGAAAGGCTGGCACTGGCTGTATCCCACTTCCATGCCGGCTTCTGTATCCTTGTCAGAATTGTTCACCATTTGTAAAATTGCTTTGACAGCTGCTTATATATGGCCAGTTAATCCAAGCTCAGTAATAACACTTTTCAATGCTAGTTCAGACACTGGAGATGTTTCAGGGTACACTTGTTTACTGGCTGTGATTTAGAATCTATTACAAGTGCCATTTCTGAAAGAATACAGCAGGTCCAGTGGATGGGAACTTGGGATTTAGCTTTACAAGTCCTTGCAAATTCTTGGTTTCCTGACAAGTATCTTTAAAGAAGGCACTTTCAAAACATCAATGCTTTCATTTAGACTATCTGGTTCCCATTCCTTGGGTGCTACTAAGTAGAGCCAACTTCTAGTCCTCTGCATGCTATAGATACAGAGGCACATCTCTGGTTCTCTGCAGAATTAATTTGCATACAGAAGAGCTTATGTAGTTGAGACCTATGATCAGATGAATTTCTAGAACATGTAAGATGGCTTTAGCACAGCAGGTATCATAAATCCACATGGCAAGCTGTACCTGTGCTGGCCTAGTGAAGTCTAAGTGCAGATAACTTGAGTAGGTACTTCCAGCTCAGGGCAGGCACTATCAGGGAAGGTTGGGACCCATATGCTTCCATTTCCACATCTGCAGTCCATCCTCCAGACTATTTGCTTCCTGAGTTTTCCCATGGGATATTCCATATACACCTCTAACTTCCACTAACCATGTAGCAAAAGGCCGGTTACTCCCACCATCCCTGAACATTAGCAGTTCAGCTGCACACTTTAGTAATGTGGCATGGAAGAAAACTCCTTGGATAGCACTTTCAGAGGATAGCTTTAATAAAAATGATGCTCTTTGGACTAGGTCTGTTTGACTTTTGTTGCCACACCTTTGCAAAGCCTAGCATGTCCTTTGTTCTGACATAAAATAGAATTAAACCTATATATGCCTGGAAGGTACTTGGGTAAGAAAAACTGGTGCTAGTGAAGTGAACATCAAGTCTATCATATCAAAAATTGAACGAAAGCACTGCTGCAGAAACCAGGGTACCCTGCCTCTTTGTTTTGAAAGCTGTTGCAGGAGAAGAACAGCACCATGTCAGAAGGTCCTGACACTGTCTGTAGCCCATTGGCTCCCCTTGCTCACACAGCACTCCTGACCTGCCCAAGCACAGCGAGTCCCCAAGTGTGGCATACACACGGTATAGGCAGGAACTCTGCTTTCCTCACAGCGCCTCAGCACCCTCACAGGGAAGAACTTCTTCCTTAGATCTAACCTGAACTTCTCCTGTTTCAGTTTGAACCCATCACCCCTTGTCCTATCACTACAGTCCCTGATGAAGTTGATGAACATGCATGATTGCACTGAAATGTTTAAAGAAAAGAAGAGTGTGAGTACTGAATAGTGTAACTAATAGCTTTGACATTAGCTTCAGGAATAACAAGTTATTCACAAAGAAAAGAGAAACCATGTAATTTCTCTTGCCTGTTCATAATGGTTTTTTGCCATGAACCCACCACTTCAACATCAGAGACTCTGGCAAAAGCAATTAAAGATGTATTCCATTTCATACAATGGATTGACCCAGCTTCTGCATCACAAATATAAACTCATCTAATTTCTGTCATTATAGTTTAACAGCTTAATGACCTCTAAAAGCAGAAATATCAGTTTCTTTCTTTTTGTGCATGTTGTTCTGTTTCTATTTAAGTATCTTTGTATGCTTCCCCTGGTACGTATCCCACCCACATTTACTGCTTTCTCCTGGTCCTCTATTTGCAAGCTTCTCCATCCTCCCCTTCAGATGTATTTCTAGAAGCTGGGTTCTCTCCTACACACGTCATCCCTCCTTATATTGTGGAATAATAAGTCAACCACATAGACATAAATGAGGCTATACTGCAAGAAAAAAGACATATGCTACTAAAAAGCCCCACCTCCACCATAAACTGATGCTGATGCCTTTTATTTATTCACATATACTATCATAGATGTTCGTAAACCAACACTAGAAGGCAGAGCTGGTAGCAAAAGTAGTTTTCATACTTCAAAGTATATTAACACATTCTTGCAAGATTCTAATCTAATTAAAAATATTTAATCAATACAGTGCTTACACCATGGTTCTTAAGTATTTGAGAGTATGACATTATTCCAGAACACTGTAGAAACACCTGTAAACATGCTCTTAAAAATATTTTCCTGACCTTTTTGAAAAGCTTGACTATTTGTTCATCTATCTACAGGAAAGTACATCTTATATAGTACTTCATACTCTTTATACAATAGGTATTTGATGACAGAATAGACAAACACAGTTTAAAGAGTTTCCATCTGCTTCTCTCATTGTTACAGATAAAGCAAACAGCATTAAAGTGTACCAGAGGTGCAAATGCTCTGAATTCTTCTCCTCATTTTTGCACTGAAGAGATGATTAAGAAAATGCTTTTCTAACACCAGTCATTTCATATGTGTAAAGTTAAAGCTATTTCCTTCTAACTCAGCGTATCTCATGATAGGAAGCTCTATTTCAACATGAAATTTGGAATTCTTACCATGGTCTGTAAATTCAGACATGCAGAGTTGACTTGACCTATTTCCACTTGGTTCATCATGTCCTAGGGATGCATAGTTGCATGTCATGACTGGTTGAGAATGAATTGGAAGTTCTGAAGTCTGCCCATAAGATTCCTTAGTTGAATTAAGCAGCATGGAGAAACAGGTAGAGT